ATGGGCCTGCTTAGACTGTAGAGAACTCTTTAATTCTTTATTTATATTCCTTTAAGTATAAGTCCTTGACCTTCTATAATTCTTCAGAAATCTTATCCACTTTTATAATTTAGAATTAACATACTTATGCTGGTGACTTTATTTTTAGTTATCCTCTCACTTGAATTCTTTTTGCCTTACTAGACATTTCACACCTATATAGAACTTTTTTGTATGCATAAGTCTAATAAGATATTAGTTTGAACCATATGCAATTGCTATTTTCTAGGTCAAAACTGTCAAATATTGACAATTTCATATAGTTCAGCCAAAAAAAAAGCTGAAGTTCTTATTTTAATAATTTCTTGTTTATATGTGTGTTTAACATTACAGAACCTTTTGATGGAACAAATACAGCTAGAGCTGTGCATGAAAAACAGAAGTTTGACATGATCAAGGATCAGTTTTTAAAGGTAAGCAGTGCTTCAGATAAACTCTTAAAAAAAGTGGATTAGTGTGCTTTGAAAATGAAAAAAGGTATATTTAACTGGACAGAACAGCCCTGGTTCCTGTGTGGTACAATTAATGTGGTACGATAGGGAATTTATTACTTGGACTTAGATATAACTTCCCTTCAGAGAGTCTGGCTCTGTTTTCATTCACGTGGCTTTCACTTTTGTGAAAATAAGCATTTCCACAGTGAGTTTTTAAGGTCTCAGAATGACTAAAACCTGATGGACTCTTTTGCCTCCTAAAGTCATATTTATGTTATATATATTATATATATATATAATATATGTATGAGCTGTAGTTTATTCCTTAGTGCTTTAGTCCACAGTGTGAATTTGAATTTACTCATCAGTAATTTTGCTAGTTGTGGTTCTTGTCTTTAAGGAATTCCATAGTATAGTGTAGAAACACATTGACAGAAATATGTACAATGAGATAGGAGAAACGCTTCATAGAAGAAAAAGATCAGCGAAGTGCTTCATAGAAGAAATGCTTCATAAAAGAAAAAGATCAGCAAAGATCATTTTAGAGGCATACTTTATCAAGACATACTAGTGGACTTAATATTTATGATAATTAAAAATGTAAGCGCATCACATAAGCTGTCCTTCAGATTAGGCCCACTCAGTTTGTCAAGAACAGAAAATTTTAAGTGAATGCTACAAGACAAAACAGACATTCAAGAGGAAATATTTTTGTTTGTCAGTTAAATTGAGAACTCAAAATAGCATTGCTGGGGACTTAAGAGTATAGCATAAAAAAAATAGTATTGCTTACATTGCCGTTCTTATTGATGAGTGAACTTTCATTAGGAATTGTTTAATTATAAAACCAATAGTTTTAGTCAATTGAACAACTAAAGTGAGAACAAACTACAAAGATCTGCCGTCACCAGGAAGTCAGCCAAATTTTTAGCTTGTGAGTAAGAATTTCAGTTTTTTTCTTACCAGTTCTGTTTACTCTTTTTTTTTTCTAGAGGCATATATAAAATACTTTTTTATAGATTTCCTTTTTCCTTCATAAATACTATTTTTAATTGAATATCTTACTAGATGCAAAATAGTCAATCAGGTGATTGAAGTAATCTTCCCTTACCTCTGAAACCTAAAGGTTTCGTTTTAATTACTTTGTACCTTGTCATTTTAGATGAAATTATTTAAATCTATGAATAAATGTGAAAATTATATTTTCATACCACCTGTGTGCCCATTTCTTTATTAATGAATCGAAGCCACACAAGAATAGAGTTTTTAAATAACATTTTCTTTTCGGGTAACAGAAACAATACTTGTACTGTGTTAAAAACTTGGGAGATAAAACACGAAGAAGAAAAAAATCACCCTAAATTTTACCACCAGAGAGAACTATTAATTTTCTAGTAACTTTCCTTTCAGTCTTTTGTTCTTCATATATTTTAGGTTTTAAGAATGATTTTTCTCTCTCTCCCAGTCATGGCACAGATTGAAAAACAAAAGAGATTTGAATACTATACTACCTTTAAGAGCTGCTGTCCTGCAAAGATGACTGGCTTCTATTAATAAATTCTTCTGAGAAATAAAGAACAATAGTAACATCATAATGCATTTTGTTTACCTCCATCATGGTTTCTTTTTAATTGTTCTTGTTTTCATGGTTTTTTTTTAAGAAGACATATAAAGATTGCATATTTTATTATGACATTTCCTAATAAAACTCCTTGATTTAAAGATGTATTTTTGAAAATGTTTACATTGACAATTAGTAATATTATGGCATGAATTTTCAGGCGATCAAATAAAATATTTTGGGGGGAATTATCTGAACAAATAAAAGATTTTTGACATAACTTTAATTATACCACATGCTAATACTGAGGAGATGTATAGAATTTTGGCAAGAGTCTGATTCATACATACTTAAAGTATAACCTACAGTAGTAGTTTGTTGCCTGTCTGTTCTAGTAGAGTGAAGATTCAAGTCAGTTATTCAGTTACTTGAAGCAAAATGAAATCTTTTATTTCAGTGAAATCACTGCAGAGGCATGAAATACTGGACAATTGCCTTAAGTCTTCACTTGACTTACCAGGATAGACTGAGGCTTTGGATGTGTCTGTATTAGCATTCCATTAGTACCTCACATGCTTTTGATGTACTCTTGAGATTGCTTTAAATTTTTTGTTGAAACAACAGTACATTTTGCACTGTAGTAATATGAGCACTAACTCTGTATTGCACAGCAGTTAGTGAATTGTTTTAAAGAATCAGTTCCATGTAGACCATTTTGAAAAGACTAAGTCCCCTGTGCTTTATGATAGCTTAGTGCAATGTGCACTTTAGCTTTACTTCTCGTTTTCATGCTTTTATTTTCCCTGTGACATGAAGCAACAGAAACATAAAGATCAAAGTTGAGATTATAACCTATTGATAGTATCAGATTTTTTTCTGTGTACAATTATGGGATTGTAATCTAAACTGGAATTTTTAGGCAGTAAGCCACTATAAAATGTTTTGGGGTAAGACATAAAATTATTATAAATAAAAGCTTAATGTTTGTAAAAATATCTTTTTTAGTGTTTCTTTTCCACATGAAGAAGTAGTGGTGGCTGCTAAAAAAGCTACAGTGTTTATTAAGGTGGTTTTGGGGTTATGTAAATATTTGTAAGTTTGTCAGTACCTGTACATTTAAATATGAAAAGTAATCTTGGAAACAATTTTAACTTTTTCAAAAGGACTGTGTACAACTTCTTTTAGACCTGCTGTGGCACAGTTTGTACCTCTAATGTATTTGGGTTTTTTCGCAGACCAGTTCAAATGCTGAGACTTTCGCTTTTCTTTGACTTGTAAAAGGTGGATATTTTCATTTTCATTTAAATTTTTGTATAATGTCAAATGGAATAAAGTTTATTATGGAAATTGTTGATGTGACTTTTTTTTTCTGTGAAAGTCTTTACTTTTGAAATGAGATTGTGGTTGTAGTTATTTAGAATTGAACTGAATCCAATTATTGTGCATGATTATTTAGGTTATGTAGAGAATCTTAGAATCAAGTTTATTTCATTGTTAAGCCAAATAATGACAGTAACGCCCTTTTTTCTCTGGCAAGATTAGGAATGAAGCTTTCCACATAGGTGAAGTTTTTAGATTACTGATGTTTTAACACTTTTAAAGCAATTAAGCTTTATATATTCCTTTCCTTGGCAATTTTTCTAAAATGCATTACATACTGTGCAACTCTTCTTTATCAGAATGTATTGAGTATAATTAATATTCTAGAGATGACTCCAGGTAATCATTATGAGCAGTAAACAGTAGTCATAGTACTGTATATACTGTGCAGCTCTCAGGCATGGGAAAGTGTGTGGGGTGTTTTGCTTCTATAAGTATTTTGACATTTTTATGATATTTCCTAATAAAGCCCCAGAAGTTACCACGGTGTAGACTTCTTTGCTTCCAGTTTTCTCAGCTTTCAGTGA